CACAGAGGCTCAGAGGTCCTTGACATGCAACCTGTAAGTTGCTTTAGTGTTTCTACTTCAATAAGGGTAGACGTTTGATATGCTTGATAACTATGAAATTAATTTAGGTTTAGAATATGTAAAGGTGCAATATCTGTTTGCAACATAAAATAGCATTTTTTTTAAAATAGATTTTTGTTAATTTTTAAAGCTGCAGTCCATAACTTTTTTTGTGTTCAAAATTTACAAAATGTTTATAATGAGCGAGTACATCATGAATCCATTTTCCAAATCGTGTTTTTGTCTTATCCTGAATCCCATTAGACTGCTAAATGTCTATTTAGATGTGTAAATATACATTTTGTTTGTTTTTCACATTTGGCCATATTTGGTAATGTTTGCAATAAAAAAATATAAATACTTTCACAAAAAACTTGCATGTCAGTTATATTGCAACACTCTAAGTGATTGTGTCTAATCAACAGTTGGGGACCAACATGGATGAATATTTACAAAATGACTGGAGCATCAGGGATGCGACGAGGGGGACACGTCAGACCGTTGCCATTGTTCCAGGCCACGTCATCGAGACCGAGTCTTTGCTGGAGGCTGGTGATCTTGGTTTCAAAGTTTTATTTTGTTTTTCATGTTAAATACACGAAGCAGTGTATCAAATTAATGGAAAAGAATCGTCCTCTGTCAAATTTGAGGAAAACTCTGTGATATTTAGTCGCATTGTAAATGTTTGTAGCTATTCTTAATAAATCAACACATCTTAATAAATAAAATCGTATAAGAGTTCAAATGAGTTGCTTATTGACTTTTAAAGGTGCATTGTGTAATACTGTATTTAGGAGGATCTGTTAACAGAAATACAATATATACATAACTATGTTTTCAGTGGTGTATAAAGACCTTACTTAATGAACTGTTATGTTATTTTTTTTATCGTAGAATGAGTATACATTGTATAATTGTAATAATTGTTTACAAAAAAATATTAAAGATGTATTAAAATTGTAAAAAAAAAAAAAAAAATGAAATCACATATACAGTGGCCTCTCTGGTTTATTGTATTACAGAGACAATCATTATTTTACATTAGTAATATAAAAAATATTTGTTACTAATTTTAATAAGGCAATGATACAGGAAATAACCCAGCACATGAGTAAGACTTAACCCAGCGAGATGGTCAATTTCACCCACTGGTTGGGTCAAATTAATGACCCAACCATATGGGTTAAATGGAAAAACCCAGCACTTGGGTCAAACCAACCCAGCGCGTGTTCTGTCCTATAGTGACCCAGCGGCGTGGTTAAGGTTGGGTTATTTTTTAACCCTGCATTTTTTAGAGTGTAGTTTCCATGACAGAGTTCAAGGTTAATCTTTTCATGACAACTGGAGCTGCCAGTTTGCGAAGTTTAAAATAATTATAAAAACAGCAAGCACAAACTATGCAAAAGTGGCAGCCCTTCCGGTGCAATCAATGCTGCTTTTACTGTTTAATAATCATTTTAAACTTCGCAAACTGGCAGCTCATGGAACCTAGCATGTATACACCTTATAATAATCAATTAAAAAGGAATTTTACCTGTATGTTATTATTTTGTACCCACATTGGACCAGCGGTTTGTAAAATGAATGGATGGTTCGACGGATGATTCTTCTGGGAAGTATGCGATTTCGGATGCAGCCCTAGTTACCTTGTGCATGCCAGTTTGTTCCCTTAGTTACTGATTATGTTCACCTGTTGTTCATTTAGTTATCTCATTACTCTCCCCGTGTGTTTAAGCCCTGAATTTCCTCAGGTCATTTGTCCGGTATTGTCTAAGTTAAACATGGTTGTGTTTCGTTATTCTCCAGCAAACTCCTGAGATTTAGTTTGTGGATTAAATACAGACTGTTTATTTTGGATTCTCCTTCAATCATGCACTTCTCTACAACCACAACCGTGATACATATATGGTTTCATGAAGAACTTTTAGGATCAATGGAACCTTTCCATTGCACAAAAGGTTCTTTATGTATAACGTGTTCACCGAATTATTCTTTTAGGAACCAAAAATTGTTCTTCTGGCATCACTAAGTGATCGTATAGAATTAACATTAAAGGGATAGTTCACTTTGAAATTAATTTTTGGTATGTTTTAGCTTACCTCAAGGGCATCCAAGATAGGTGCCTTTGTTTCCACAGTAGTTTCAATTTTGATATGTTTAGGTCAAACAGTTCTTGTCTGTCAGTCATATAATGCAGGTCTATGGTCACCACCTCAAAGAGCATGCACAGAGTCCAAATTAAACATGATTTAATGACTCGTAAATGTAAGTACAGATTGATGGCCTAAGACACGAAACGAGCAGTTTGTGTGAGAAAACGAACAGTATTTATATCGTTTTTACCTCTTGTAACCAAAGCCACGTCCAAGCGATCAGAGGGCGCCGGCGCTTCGGTCTGCGCAATCGCCGGAAGTGATCTCTCGTGCGGTTGCGAAATAAATTCAACGTTGTCTGTTGATATATCGAAATCGTCTTCCATTGCGATTTCCTGTATATCTAAATATGTTTAGATCTTCACAGTGAAAGGTAACACTTCCGAAATCTCTGTGTAAACAATGAGTGACGTACACGCGCGAGAGATCACTTCTGGCGCTTTCCGGCGCTTGCGCAGACCGAAGCGCCCGCGCCCTCAGATCACTTGGATCGGATGTGGCTGTGTTTACAAGAGGTAAAATCAATATAAATACTGTTCGTTTTCTCACACAAACCGCTCGTTTCGTGTCTTAGGCCATCAATGTGTACTTACATTTACGAGTCATTAAATCATGTTTAATTTGGACTTCTCTGTGCATGCTCTTTTAGGTGGTGACCATAGACCTGCATTATATGACTGACAGACAACAACGGTTTGACCTAAAAATATCAAAATTGAAACTACTGCGGAAACAAAGACACCTACATCTTGGATGCCCTTGAGGTAAGCTAAAACATACCAAAAATTAATTTCAAAGTGAACTATCCCTTTAACTTAGACCGCATGCTTTGAACTCTATTGATGCCCTTCTTGCACAGTCAAAGATATGAAAGCAACTGAACATGTATTGCTCAATGGCTTGGTAAGGAGAAAAAAAAATCCAATTATCACACTTTTTATTGTAGTTTAATTTTCCTTTGTTCTCGAGTAAAATGGCTCCACTGCATGGGGGATTTGATCAAATGTGTGCCAGTGGAATAATACAACATAGTAGTGTCTTATGAAGTACCGTCCCACAGGGTTAGACTTTGAAGCATTCTTTGTGAGCTGTGAGGCAATAGAGAGAGAACTAATTCACTATGTGTTTCCTGCTCAAACGCTTATTAAAAAATGATGATAAACATGATATGAATTATCATAGAGTTAAACTAGAATAAAGTGGAATGCAGGGAGAAGAAAATCACTGTGGTGAGATTCAGTTAAGCCTGTAGGATTAATCTGGATCGACGAGAGAGAAGACTTCACTGCACTGTGTGTCTCCTGTTATGGCTGTAAGTCTCTTCTCAGTGACTGTGCCCTGGCCTAGATAAACCATATCACAACACCACTGAAATATTCACATCTCCGTCTGCATTGTGTCTAACCATCAAAGTGAACAAACCATTTGCAATGACAAGTTCAGCCATGACAACTGCATGGGAGCAGGGCTGTGTAGAGCGAATTAATAATATAGTGAACTATCTTGTCTTTTCTAAACTCTTCATTAGGTTGGCTTTGTTGCAACTGATAAATACTCTGACACTGCTCTCCTGTTCTGAAGCTGGAACAACCTTTATGCAAAAATGTTCCATTTCAATGTCAGGAAAGTGCTTATTGTATTGATTTGATAATAAAGTTGATAAAATGTTCAAAATGTTGATCTATTACTTTATCATAGACCAGGAACACAACCACCCTTGCCATGTTTGTGAATGGAAAATGGGTCATGTGCCTTTTGTATCCCACACTGTTATGTGTTGTTATAGTGATTTTTCATTAAAAAAAGTACAACAGAAATTCAACAACTTTTTTTTAAGTAATATAACCTCATTCTTCTCGGGTCATTGGCCTGTCTCCTTAGTTTCCAACTTCTCTTTGCTGTATTAGGAAATATGCAACTTTTGATTAAAATAGTAAATAAAAGCCAGTATTTTGTATTTATTCTGTCGATTAAAAAGACTTGAAGTGGTGTCCACATTACATTAATCCTACCAACTCTATCTCACATTCCCTTTACCTTTAAATAAATGAACTCTGTCATAGTAACATCACTAGTGTCTTCTCTTTTTTATCACTTTATTTGTTTAGTCAACCCTGTTACCATGATTTTGTATTCTAAATGATTATTTAAAAGTGTATAGAAACATTAGCATTCTTTCTCAACATTCTTTCTAACAAACACATTGTAGTGTCATGACCCTCAGCACAAGGCTGGATAAATGAATACCAAAACTTTTACCTTGTTACCTTTTTTAGCTAGCTATTTCATTTCATAATTTTAATTTCACGTTTTGTTAATATTATTATTAATTTTAGCTTATAATGACAAAATGCAATTTAATAAAACAAAAACGCCATTAAAGCTAAAAGATACATTCTTTGTCTGATAGAATGTTTAAAAGGTTTAATGTAAAATCTTAAAGATAATCACCTTATCACTCAACGTCAGGCAGTGAATTCTGGTTAAGACAGTCAGTTGGTCTACAGCAGGTGGCAGCACATGCCTAATGCAAACCTGCCTGAAAAACTGCTAATTAAGATGACAGGACATTTCAAAAAAATCTCGGTTATTAAAATTTCTCCTCTAGCGAATAACATATTACTAGAGTAAAAATGAATAGCCTACACAACAGAAACATCAAATTAATGCAATTCAAGAATGCAATATAACCTAAAGCATATAATGCTTTTTACAACTTCAGCTAACCAGGTGTTTTTCTTAAAAAGTTAGTTTTGAGCTTGTCAAAAAGTTCGGCAGTTTGTCTATCTTTTACTAGCGGGTAACTGGTAAAGTATAAGTTAGTGCTTTACGAATATTTGTTTCGGTTTATTCAGCGGAGGCCTGATTCCACCAATCAGATCGTAGCGCTCCAAACTTCCCACCAATCAGCACAACTCCTGTAACTTTCACGCGCTGCTCGCGTCTGTCGCTCTGTTTTGATCCGCTGTCTGTCTGTAGGTGGTGAAGCCTCGATGGGGACACTTTTGTTTTTATGCTAATATTTTCTTTTACAAACCACGGGGCTTTTGTCAACGCTCAGGTTTATATAGGGGGGAATGATGACATCATTTATCTGCGGTTGAGGAAGCGGCCGTGTTTCTGAAGAGCCTCTTGAGACCGTCTAAGCCTCTGCAATGAGTTGTTTGGATGTTATGTATCATCAGAGTTATGGAGCTCATCACTACTTGCCTGCGACATCATCAGCAGCGGCGGCAGCGGCAGCTTACAAAGCGGCTTACTATCATCATCATCATCATCAACATCATCAGCAGCAGCAGGTAGGTGCTTTATTCTGACACAGACGACTCAAGGAAAGTTAGGAAAACGAAGTTCTGCTTCAGACATTTTTGCTGAGATGATTTAAAAAGCATTTAAAGCCTTAAGAAAAAAGCTTTACAACATGTTGCATTCTTTTCTTCATATATACACACACAATTATATACTAGGCTAACGTTACACTATTTTAATGAACAAGTCGGACGGGACAGTGAAGACAAAACAGTCATATATATATATATATAAAAAGAAAAAAACTTGCGTGGTCATTATATAGCCTATATATATATATATATATATATATATATATATATATATATATATATATATATATATATATATATATATATATATATATATATAATGACTACGAATGCAACATTTTAAAGCTTTTTTTCTTAAAGCTTTAAATACTTTTTAAATAATCTCAGCAAAAAAAAAAATATATATATATACACACAAACTGTTATATAGTACACTATTTTAATGGACAAGACAGGACAGTGAAGAAAAAACTTTTTTCTTTTAATTTTTTAGTCAATATGTAATTCCCATACTTCGTTTTGTAGTTTTTTGTAACATTATTGTTACTTTAAAATTTGGAAAATAATAATAATGAAATGCGAAGTTTGTGTCCAGACTGAGTTTTTCTCTAAATTCTGTACTAATATATTAAAAAAAAAACATATTTCATGACATTTGATATAGAATTCTTCAAATTCCAAGCTGTGAATTACAACTGAATGTGTTTACACAGTCTCTCGTATACGGAAATCTTCACGGGCGTAAATCAGCGTACCACTATGTGCCAAGCGTGTGGGCACTGGGCCATCAGTTCAGAGACAATCCTCAACAATCTATTTTGGTCGAAGACCAGGTGGTGAATGTGCGTGCTGCAGCTTTTAACCCTGCCCTGACCAGTTCAATTCTTCATAATGAACACAAATCTGTGTCTTTCAGCAGAAGAAGTTCGGTGCCTACAGCAGGATGCAGGATTCGGAGGAGTTTCCCTCTCACTGTGGCCAGAATAAGCAGCCTGGAGCGCTGAAGCCCCGTCCCGAGCCTGAGCTTCCTCGAGAGGAGGAGCAGAACGCTGGGGAAGAGGAGCGCTGCAAGGAGGCGCAGCCCGCCGAGGCCGAGTACTTGAGTGCCAGGTGTGTGGTGTTCACCTATTTCCGTGGAGACATCGGGGACGTGGTGGACGAACACTTCTCACGTGCTTTGAGCCAGCCCAGCTCCTTCAGCAATGATGCTAAAACCGGCAGACTTCACTCTGGAGGACCGTGGAAAGGTAGGAGACGGTGTTACCAAAAATCACATCATTAACATTAATAGTTCTCACACATTATAACATAAGATGGTTACACTTTATTTTACAGTGTCCTTGTTACAGTGTAATCACATGTAAGTACTAAGTCATGTTAATTAGCAACATGTACTTACTATAAGGTTAAGAATAAAGTTAGTTTCATGTAATTATGCATAATTTACTGTTATTACTACATTGCACTTTATTTTACAGTATGTGCACTAACGTGTACTTACACTGTACAACTACTGGGTAATATAAGGTAACTACATGGGTTAAGGTTAGGTTCAGGGTTAGTACATAGTTATTACACAGTTATTACAATAACTATAATAAGTACATACATTGGGAACAGGACTGTGAAATAAAGTGCTACCACTACAAGTATATGTAATGTGTAACAAAGACACTAAAATAATGTGTAAATTAAAAGAATTTAAACAGAAAAAGTGTGGAAAAGCCCTTATTCCGTGTGATTTCCTGAAGCTCAAAGTTGAGAAACTGACATAACAAAATACGTCGATTTTTTTTTTCTTTTGTTTTGGTTCTTCACAGCAGCCTTTAACAATAAAATGTACAGGTTGAATTGAATACATTTGAATCATAATAAAACTGAATAACAGATCAATCACAATAGAAATGTTGTATGCACATTGATTCCACAACACAGAGTGTCGAAACTTTGCATGCTGGTCCATGACTCTATATGTAAAAAAAACTCAAAATATCAAGAAAAAAAATCATAGAATAGCCGATATTTACGACTACTTTGTGGGTTAAATTGACCCGCAACATAAAATAAAGGTATATTTCTAGTCCTGGCTTCTGATTGGTCAGTACAGCATTACTGCTAAGCTAAAGGCATTCTGTGTTTGTGAACTGTTTTTCCAACATCAATATTGTATGTTAAAGGGATACTCTACTGGTATTTCATATTAAACTATGTTATTCCCTTAACTAAGACGAGTTGATACATACCTCTCTCGTCTCAGTGCGTGCACTCAATCGCTGTCTTGCGGCAAAACTTTGTTAGATCTTATCTCAGCCCTGTTCATTCAATACGTGCCAAGAAGAGAAGCGACCAAACACCTCCACGTTTTCCCTATTTAAATACAGTTACACGAGTAGTGTAACTCGACCTAAGACGGTGACACAAAATAAAACGTTGCGCTTTTCTAAGCGTGTAAAATGGATAACTATATTGTATGGCAGAATACCATAGCAAGTGCTTGGGAGCACTTCGACTCGGCGCAGGAATATCATCACTCGTGAAAAGTCCGCTCCCGTTGAAATGAGAGGGAGGAGGAGAGGGAGCGGGGGAGCGGACTTTTCACGAGAGATGATATTCCTGCGCCGAGTCGAAGTGCTCCCAAGCACTTGCTATGGTATTCTGCCATACAATATAGTTATCCATTTTACACGAATAACATAGTTTAATATGAAAAACCAGTAGAGTATCCCTTTAAAATGTATATGAATCTAAGGCAAAGTGTGCATTTCTCTTTTAGGTTTTCAATCCCTTTTTTGCCTTCACATGTTATTGTTAAGTGGTATGACAGAATACCACAAAACCATTTCAATTAGATATCCAGGTACTGAGGAACTAATCGTTTGTTGTGTTTCAGAAGGAAACTCCCACTCCGAGGGTCAGTGTGGCTCCGTATCGTCGTCCCTGTGGGGTAGCGGTTACCCATCTCAAACCAGCCCGTGTGTCCCCTCCTCTCACCCTGACTTCCCCCACAGCGCCGCCTTCCACCCCGCAGACACTGGCATCTGGAGCAGCCACAGCCTGGCCCCTCCTTCTGCTCTTACTGACTCTTGGCACTACGGCCTGGGAGCCCAGAGTGGAGCGGGATACCCCCACGTACACGAGATGTACCCTCACATGCACCCCCGCCACCCACACCCCCACCGCGTGCTCCATCACGCTCACAGCCCCGCGCTGGACCCCCGCTTCAGCCCCCTTCTGCTACCCGGTGTAAGAGCGTCATGCAGCCCGACGTCCTACACAGACGCCATCAAAACAGAGCTGGAACCGAGTAGCATCCCGGCACCTAACTGGCCCGTTTCTTTCCACGGGTCAGTGGACATCTATGATACAGGTGAGACAAGATGAGCGAATAGATCATAGATCTGTACACTTCCACAGCATTCATGTGTTTGCAGTGTTATATCATTTGTAAATCATCATTATGTAGTCATTTTCATTGGGAAGTCAACACAAAATGGTTCATATACATATTAAATAACCATGTGATAATGCCTATTTTTGGATAATTCAGTGAAATGGATTCTTTACAGTCAAAAGCTTCATTTCATACACTTCAGTTCAAAGCTTTTGAAAGAAGTCTCTTATTATATTTTTAATATATTTTAAAATGTGATCAAAGCTGAATTTTCAGCTTCATTACTCCAGTCTTCAGTGTCACATGATCCTTCAGAAATCATTCTGATATGCTGATTTGCTGCTCAATAAACATTTCTTATTATTATCAATGTTGAAAACAATTGTGCTGCTTATATTTTTGTGGAACCGTGATTTTAATCAGGATTCTTTGATAAAAAAAATTGAATGAATCGAAAGAACAGCATATATTTGAAATAGAAATCTTTTGTAACATTATAAATGTCTTTACTTTTGTCTCTTTTGGTCAATTTAATGCGTTTGCTGAATAAAATGATCAATTTCTTACTGACCTCAAACTTTTAAACAGTATAGCAAAAACAGCTTCACAACACATTATAATAAGACCCTTTAACTATTTCTTCCTTTACTTGATTAGTTTAAACATTTCCGACTTTTTATTTTCACGTTACCTTTATTTTGTTGTTGCTTTCACATATAAATAATGTAAAGCAGTCCTGACACATTTATATATAGGGATCAGCGCTTGACATTAACTTTTTTGCTCACTAGCCAATGTGGCTAGTGGTTTTCCAAAATGACTAGCCACGCAGCATTTTTACTAGCCACAGTTTTGTTGTTGTACGTTTTATATGATTAAAATTGACAATGGGGCTGAAAACGTGCTAAAATGAACTAATATTATCATTAGCTCTGATAAGGTTGTTAAGCTCCTTTTTTGATAACATGTTGTCTAAGATACACACATAAAATAGCTTCTTATTGTATATAATAAAAGTGCTGCATTGTTTGTTTGTTTTTTGTTTTACAGCAGTAAATACTGCAATACAGAGTAGAACAATTATCTGCATTAGAAACAACGAGCAAAGAATAAATAATAATTTTAAAGAAAAAATCCACAATTAAGGCACCAGGATTACAACTTTATATAGACAAGTTTCCCGGGCACTTCCGGTTTACTTCCTGTTTCTGCCAAGAACTTCCGGCGTAGCCGCACCGGCTGAGTAGTAGTGTAAACATGGCTTTGGAATGGCAACACTCGACCGAAAATCTTATTAAAAATGCTGTTTTGACCATTCTGCATCCAAGTAAGGTAACATCATGGGCGGACAACATGTCGATATGGCCCAGCATCACAACATCCAAGATATTTTCTTATTTTATTGATTCCATGGCGGTGGATGGGAATGCAATTAATAACCTGAAAAGCTCAGAGGCGTTTCAGTACCTCCATTCAGACAAAGTGGGCTGTGTACTTTTACACGATATGGGCAGTTTAATTTACCTAAAGGCCGATGTTCAACCAAGCCAGTCCGTTAACAATTCAGCGCATAACGCCTGGGTTTTGGTTACCAAGACGGGAGATGTGGAGACAGCAGGCTGTACCTGTATCGCCGGACCTGGACGTTCCTGTAGCCATGCAGCCATGTAGCCATGCAGCCGCCGTGCTTTGGAAGGTACGTTAGCCCATCTTATGCTTGTATTAAGATGTTTGTATGTATCCGTGTGTTAATCTGCGTAATAATGAGTAGACAGTGTTGACTTCCGCGAATGATAAGCCTTCCGTATTTGAGTGCAAATCTATAGCATTTTACCCCAAAACGGAGAAATGTTACTTCAGCCTATCTAATGATATATAATGCGGTTGGTGTGTGAACCAATCACAGACCAATATAAAACAAACACTAGGAACGATACTTTTAAACAGAACAAATCAAAACAAAAGAAAACGGTGTAATCCGTATGAAATGGGCAAATTTGCAACAAACCCTTTCTGGCTTTTGTTTATTTTATTTATTTTTATCAAACTGATTTATTTTATTTATCTATTTGCTTTTACTCATTTTTTTTATATTACTCACTTATCATTTATCACTTTATTAAATGTTATTTATTTATTTAATATTTAATTATATTTTCTTTTATTCTTTTATTATTCTTTTCATATTTTTCAAGATTTTTTTATATGTCTAAATAAATGCAGGCATTAAGGTGTTAAACATTGATGTTGATGGCTGCAGGCCCAGCTCATTAATTGTTTTGAAAAGTAACAAAAACGCTCTACCTTCATCATACCCTTGTTATTTTGATTTATAAAATGTTGTCTCTAAAAGAAGTCAATTGTGCTGTGATGCTCAAACCATTATTTAAAAAGTGTGTGATTTTGTTTCTATCTGTCTGCAGGTAGAAAATGCTGTGAGGCAAGGGAAGACAGGGCTTGCCTGCACTGATGTGCAGAATTGCTGGAATGCCGGGACAAAAAGCAATACTGGGCAGCAAAAAATTGAGATTTTTTCCTGTATTTACTTTGTTTTTATTTAATTATAAAAAAAAATGCAGCCATTAAGGAGTGAATGAAATTGTCCCTTTGTTATGGAATAGGATAAATAAAAATGAATTCATTTCTTCTCAAAAAAACAAATTGTTTATTGTCATGTGTCAATATTTACAATACAAGAAAAAGAATAGCACTCACACAAGTTTTTCTTAGGGTGTATTCACACCAGGAAAGTCCGATAGTTCACTTGCTTTGGTCCGGACCAAATAATTTTTTTTTTTTTTGGTACAGTTCGCTTTCACACTGCTCTTTTTGCAAGTGAACCTTATCAATAAATCACAACACCAGAAAGGGTACAATAACAATACATTTACGCAGGTTTTCTAGCTGAAATTTATATATATATATATATATATATGGTAACTTTGTTAAGGATCAGAAATTAGACACTAATTAATGACTAATAACTGCATTTGTAAGTAACTTGTTATGTACTTGTATGCCATTACAAATGCAGTAGTCATGAATTAGTGTCTAATTTCTGATCCTTAAAATAAAGTGTTACCATATATATATATATATATATATATATAAGGAATATGTACAATTTAAATAAATAAAAACCTGCAGGTAACCCAGGTTTTACTTTTCATAGGGACTTACACCTCATGTGGCAGTCGGATGAGTCTGGACCTCATGTTTGCTAAAGCAGCACATATGATAAGAATCTTGTCCAACCTCGGGGTCATGGAGATGGGGACAGTTTGGGACAGAATTTTGAAGACTTTAAGTCTTCGGATTGCCCTCTCCACATGTATACGGACATTGGCCACTCGTCTAGTGCGCGTTACCTCCTCATTGGTCAATTGACCACGCTTGTGGGTAAAGGCAGGAATATTCAATTTCACCTTCCTTTCATGTAGTACATCTCGAATCGTGAAACCCCTGTCAGCCATTACCTCATCACCAGGCCTTAGGGCCTCCAGAAACCCACTGTTTATAGTGATGAACTTATCACTGCTTTTACCAGCATAGGCCTCTGATATAAACATTATCAGCCCATGAGGTGACACAGCAACAAGATATTTGGCAGTATTCGTTCCCTTGTAATGACTGAAAGTGGCACTCCTACAGTTAAGGTTTGTAGCTCTCTGAATAGCCGTTTCAGCACAATCGATGATGCAAGTGGTCTGGGGGTGGTTCTTTTTAAAGGATGGTGGCATGTTAGCACGAATAACACTTCTTGGCAGCCAGGCAACCATGGGCTCAAGCTGCTCACCCAATGTATCAATCCAGTGAGCAATCACCTTACTTACTTCACCTTTAGACACTTTAAAGCGCTTTGCCACATCCCCTAACACAAGGTTCAGTTTCAGTTTCATGAGGGTCATCAGTATTTGGTCAACAACAGGAATACTACATGATGGTTTACTAAATGGCAACATTGTTTTCACCAAAGTAAAAAAATATAATAGACGCAGTCCTGTGTACAGCAGCGAGGTATCATCATCCAGGAGCATATCATCAGCCACAGTCTGAACCCCAGTCTGCGTCGATTTGTTCACGTGGTCCAACTTTGCCGCGTAGCTGTGGTCAGTTTTTGTTAGGTCCTCCCATTGTGTTGCAGCATCTTTAAACTTCGGCTCGATGCACACTTCTAAAAGACAAACAGCATCAACTATAAATGTATATACCCTACTAACACAGGACAGAGACACATATATCAACAGTCGAACTTATGCTGCAAACTTTAGCTAACCAGAAAAATATCAAGATACACTTACCATCCGATTGCGTGTCACTTGTGTTTCTGTCGAGTTTACGTCTCTTTTGCTGGGGAGGTCGCTCGTATCCCAAAAAAAGTTCCGGGAAAGGGTTTTCCTCTGTGGGCTTTTTATTAATGAAGTGATAAGAACAAACAAACAGTCTTTTGGGCGGATTCTTCAACTTCAAAGCCGCTAGCCACTTCCGAGATTCAACATCTGTTTTTGGTTTCTCATACAACGCATACGGGGGAGCACATCCACATTGGCGCCTTGTAGATGGTTGATGGTCGAAACATTCTCCCTCCGACCAAACATTCAGCAATCGCCACGAGTTGTTACAACCGCGAACAGCACAATATGTCCCGGAGCCGTGTCGGCGTGTAACACCATCCATAGTTTACCTTTTCTGCACGCTAACCAAAGAAGACAGTAAAAGACGCTAACTCGCTAACCGGAAGTGCTTGGCAGACACAACCGGAAGTCGTTGGCAGAGTGAACGGCTAATGGCGGCCCGCCTATTTCACTCAGGAAACTTGTCTATAGGCTATATAGAACTATATAGGACTTTGGATTGTTTGTTTTGCATCAGCTTTTCCTCAGAGCTCTGACTTAATAATTATCATCATGAAGCTCTGAGTAACTGGAGATATGTCCACCTGAAACAAGTATAGGCCTACAGGTCTTTATTTTTCAGATTATTCCCACAAACGCATCTCCTGCTTTCTTTCATGGCATGATTAATTTTATTAAAACATAGAATTAACTCTGGAAAGATAGTTGTGATATGACGTGACATAAGGGCAGCCCTGCTAGTAGTTAGGCCTACACCGTGGCCCTTAATCATGAAGATGATTTTTGCTTTAATACCAGCCATGCACACTCACGAACTGACTGAACGCTGTGTTGATGTGTGTGTGTATGCGACCAGTCGCGTGTGATGATCGTTCGTTTGGCGCGCGCACCCTCGCGCAGCGGCACTGCAGGAGAGCGTGAGACACGCCGGTGGTCTGGATTCTCCTGCTATTAAAAAAAGATCGCTATATCATCACATTAAGTTGATAATTAAGGGCAGACTAAAACAGCCCGGTTCGTCGCACAGTCCGCGAGTTTAATCTCCGCGTGTCTTCTTGTTTGCAGTGTTGTCGTTCAAGAGGATTCACGAATGGACCAATGAGCAAACACTAAACTATGTGCAGGTGGTACTCATGGGAGTGGTAGTGGCATAGTGTCAAATTGCAATTCGTTTGTTATGTCAGATGTCCTTTGACAAGACTACAAATCTTCAACACGCCAAAGTGGCTAGTGAGAGTGACTGTGTTACCCGCCACGGGTGAAATGCACCCGCATTTGGCGGGTTGGCGGGTGTTAATGTCAAGCCCTGATAGGGATGCATGATATCTGTCAGTTATTGGTCGATATAAGAGATGTTTTATTTATTAGTCGTTATTAGATATGTCAGTGGATGCTGTATACTTAATTGTGCATAATTTGCCATAATTTAGATTACTTTTTTTACAGGAAAAGTTTATTTCCTGTATAGACCGTATAGTATAAACTGTCATATGTTATGTTGCTGGATGAAGCAAACTTGTTTTAACAAGATTTTTTTGATCACCCACAGCACCAGAGCAAGACAAAGCAAAGGCCAGTGTCTGGTTCTGACAGAGAAGATTCACTGGACTACATGCCTTAGACTGGACCACACTCTTCTGCATGTGGAGTCTTTCCTCAGAGGACTGTCTTGGGAACTATTCAGGGGGCAGATCAGTCTCTATCAGTGAGACAAGCACAAAAACAGCTTTGGGGAAAACTAGTGTTTTCTTAAAGCATACTATCCTGTCTGAGTTTGTGCGCTCATGGACAGAGATCCAATTCAGGACGCTACTTCTCCTGTATGGATGCTAAACATCCCAAATGAGGTTTAAGAGGTATATCTCCCTCTTTCTTTACACAAAGGAGGTTTTCTCGACATGGTTGATGCTTTAGAACTGCATTTATGTACTTGCACAGGTTCTGTTGAAAGAACTGATTGTATTAGTACAGTACAAGGCAGAAATGTGTTGAATGTCTGAGAAAATCTTTATTTACTTTAATATATTTGTCTAAAATAGTCTCGTGACTTTACTGATTGGTGTTTTCTGTTTGTAATATGTGTTAATAGATTATTTTTTTTATGTCAAATTGTCTCGCCTTTGAGGAATTCGTTTACTGCCTTACATGAACTGCTAAGTTTTATTGGCAAACAACCTTGTTTTTGTTTGGATGGATTTATTAAATCATTACAGTGGTTACTGTCCCTTTAAATGTTGTCAGTGGTAGTGCTTTCATCTGTTTTACTTTTCCTCGTCAATAGGACGTAAGGCATTTGAGAGGTCAGTGGCACCAAAACACACTGCAGAATAACTCTTGACCAATTTTGGGAACGAAATATGCAGAGCACAAAGTCCCAGAAGGGATAGTATCATTCCATTCACATTTAGCTTCATCTCTCGCAAAGCCACAGAATCTGGGACGTGTCATAAATTGCTGTGTTATACTGCAAAAAAAAGTTTATGTGAATGCTCTTAAATGTCAGAAGTTGGAATGTGCTTCCTGTCGGGCTAGGAAGTTCGATCCAAGACAACTTGAACAATTGCAGTTAAAACAGACTCCTCTTATCCACTGCAGAAATGTCCTAATAGAGATTGTGATAAACCAAAAGAATGTGGCGATCGGCCTCCGTGTAACGTCGACCAAAATCCACTCAAAGAATGCGGAGAGTGTAGAAATCGAGCATTATTTTGGAGAGATGCAGCTTGAAATATTTTTATACAAGCACAGTGCCAGATATTGCATTATATTTGTCGTAAAAGACAGCTGTTGGGCTGGTTGTCCTGTGAGTTAGTGTGAATGTGGGGTTGGGAGTGAGATCCCTGACCAGGTGGCGGCACTGACCCTCTCACTTTCCCTCTGCAGCTCTCAGAACATCACCAGCTGCTTCATACTGGGGCAGAATCACAAACTACCACATGTTATATTTCTCAAACTCTAGACCAGAAAGACTATTTTATGTAAACTTGTGTAAAAGAAGTGTGCTCAATTGTAGTGTACTTTAAATCCTAAAAGTTTATTTAAAAGAAACTGTAGTTGCAAATGATATATAATATTAATAAAAGGCCACTTAAGTTTATTTAAAGAAAGTGTAAGTTCATGATGATGTTTCTTAAAGGGATAGTTCACCCAAAAATGTAAATTCCATCATTAATTACTCCCCCTCATGTCGTTCCAAACCCATGAGACTTTCATTCATCTTTGAAACACAAATGAAGATATTTTAATCAAATCTGAGAGATTTCTGTAACTCCATTGACAGCTATGCAACTACCACTTGCGCTTCAAAAAAGTCCATAGAGAGATAAAACTAACCCAAATGAATTGAGTGGTTTAGTCCAAATTTTCTGAAGAGACTCGACCGCTTTATATGGTGAACAGATTGGATTTATTCAAATATAAACATTCATCAACACACACAGCAGTTGTGGTAAACACAAGCTTAGGCATGTTCACTTGACACGAGCCAATGAGGTTCATTCTCGTGTTACGCAACATGTTTGAGCTACAGCAAGAACCAATGAGGTTTGTTCTCGCCTGTCAAGCAGGTTCAGTTGAGTTTCTGTTTATGTTTGCTGATCAATGTTTTTCTGTGAATAAAAGCCTAAATTCAATCTGTTCATCATATATAGCGATTGAGTCTCTTAAGAAAATTTGGACTAAACTGCTCAATTCATATGGATTAGTTTTACGATTTTGTACTCTACTCATATTGCATCAAAAAGATCTTCATTTGTGTTTTGTAAGATGAACGAAAGCCTTAGGGTTTGGAATGACATAAGGGTGAGTAATTGATGACAATTGTTTCATTTTTGGATGAACTAACCTTAGTTCACCCAATTACAGTTAATATAAATATATTTAAATACAAGTTTCAAAAAAATTACATTCAAGTTTTTTTTTTGTTTCCCATAAATGCTTGTCAGAACATTCAGCAGTACAATGTAACAATATATAAAAAAAAATGAAGAAATGAAATTATAAAATTGCATATTAAGATGTACACAAGTATGTCAAAAACCACTCATAAGTTCAACTAATTACATTTAAAATAAATTAAAACTATAAAACATTTTAATTTAACTGCAATTAAAGTGTCAGAAAACATTACTATTAATATTCCTTATTTCAGTAATCATTTTTTTAAAGTATGCTTAAAAAAGTGTTATTTTTCACAAGGGTATGTAAACAATAGGAATAAGAGTTTTGTAATGCCAAAAAATGTTTAATTAAAATGATGAATGAGGGTGATTTTATCCTTCACAGCGAGAGCCTACTTCTGCAGTTCTGTATCTAACAGCCATTGTGCTGTACCCTGTTTCATCCATGTCCCTCAATGTTTTTGTCAATGTTGACCATTAAAACAAAAGTATGGGATTTTAATAATTGCTGTTTTCTTGCTCTAGTCTAGTGGATGAATAAGCCTGTCCATATCAGACGGGTACACCATCCTTCTGCTTTGCTAATTGCTCTACTTGATTATATAAGTTTTGAGATGGCCCTGTGATCACAAGCAGTAGGAGAGCTCCTGAAGTGGTCATACCAGACCCAAAAGCAGCAGATAAATGAGGGGTAAAGAGACCTGCCAGCTGCATTCAGCCGCTCTCCACAAGAGTGACATAAACAGCAGAAAACACATGGCCGCTCGCTCTTATGAACCTGTGGCACTGCACGATATATGGGAGTGTTTACTGCATAACAAATACAGAAGGATCATTCATGTGATTGATGTTCAAAATATGGAAAGACAACAGGGCGACACTAACTAAGTGACCGTGGTGTTTATGATGTATAAAGTCTATTTACCTTTGCATGTTGATCTTTATTTTTTTTTTTTATACAATTTTACCAAGACCCAGGAATCATTTAACCCTCTGGTTATCTTTGGGGTCTTTTTAACCCGCAAATGACTTTTGGTCAAATTAAAAAAAATGTTCTCTTTGTCCAAATGGTATGAAACTTTCTACAGCTCTTAACACTTCATAGATCTACAAAAGAAAAAAAAAATTGGAATGATATCTGTTATTATGTTGCCGTGAAAAAAATAGTCACACTTGTTGTCTTCGGGGTCCCTGGAGACCCCGCATAGTAAATATATAATATTCATCATCAAAATCAGAAACAACGCAGATCACATGGACAGAAATGAAATGGCACACTTCCAACAATGTAAAAAACATCCACAATGCAAAATTATCATTCTCGCCACACACACACACACACACACACACACAACCACACATACACATACACACAGAAATACATTTGTAAGGCTATAAAAAAAGTCTTATAATTTGTCAAATAAAATGCAGAACCACCACAAATATAAATTGGTGACACTGACACAACGAAAATACACACACACACACACACAGAATGTGTGTCTGCAGAAGTCATGCAACGTACTACGCATACTGCCTGCAGTGCACTGACTCGTGAACACCTCCAGTGCACCACCAATTGTTGTTCTTACTTGTTCAAAAAACAAAAAATTTCCCAATCAGTTTTTTTAACAAAATAATTTTTATATTACAACCATTTTATTTTTTTACTGCTTTATTTGATCATTTGTTATTGCTGTTCAGTTCATTGCACTTTTGTTTTTTTTTCTCAATATGTAATATAACTGTTCATTTCTGTTATTTTTTGTTCTGTTACAGTTTGTAACTGAAACGTTGATTAAAAATGATAGAATTATATTAAAAACAGATAATTGAAATAAATGATAAAATCTAAAGACTCCAAGATTTTTTGTAACATCTTGTTCAGGTTTGATTCTAATCATAAAGTAACATTATTGAAGAACTTTTTTCAATACAAAATATGCTAAACTTAATACAAAATATGCTAAACTTTGACCAAAAGTATATAATTCTTTTTTATAATTTTGATTTTAAAATATTTATATATGAATCCAACTCAATCCAACTGAATCCAACTTGTGAAAAGATGTATTTTGGTTAATCAAACAGCAAATAGCATATAATGGAGCTCTATAGCAATATAGTGGTTGAAGTGAATTTTTTTATTTTAAAACTTCATTTTCCAAAAAAAGGGCAAAAATCTTACATTAAATCATGTACAATTATCCATGTTATCCCCATAAATGAAAGTTAGAAATCTGGGTCCTTTATAAAGTGAATTTTACATAAAATGCTGTTTTTTGTAAAAAAAACTATTTATTTAAATATTTATTTATTTATTTTTAGAAATTTTAAAAAATATCAAAAATCCTCCAAAAACTGCACAAATGTTGAGTAAAAACATTAATAAACAGAGTAAAATTACATTTGTAAAAAAAAATTTATTATACTGTTACAAAATGCAATGTTATTGTCTGGGGTCCCTGGAGACCCCAAAGATAACAAGTGTAGACCCTAAATGAAGATAATCAGAGGGTTAAAGGGATAGTTCACCCAAAAATGAAAATTAGCCCATGAGACAGCCTATGACATTCTTCTTTCAGACGAATACAATCGGAGTTATATAAGCTGCAAAGTCGACTTGCGTACGGCCGATAAAGTTTTAAAGATGGATATTTTTCCCACACGAACGCATCGCTTCACTTCAGAAGTCCTTTATTAACCCACGCAGAGCTGTGTCGAGCACTCTAATTTAAAAAATATATACCCATAGCCTGGTTAAAACCAGACCATTCTCAGTTGTAACTAAGTTATGGTCTGGAAAAGCGTCATAGACACATCATTTCCAGAGGGGCGTCACCAACGGACGTCGCGGATAGACCTAAAACCAATCAGAGCGATGAAGGAGATGACGTATGCAGAGCGGCGGAGAAACATCTCTGAGTGTTGTTCTTTGCTCGGTTTTTAACAAAATGGAAACGTTCAAATCGCTTAAAACAGACGCGATAGCTGATTCGAACGAGTGATGTTCGACGGCGGCATCCATCTTTGTAATGTAGGCTACAAAATCTGCTTCAAAATCCCAGCGCTGTCGTCATCGTGTAAAGCCCGCCCCAACGTTTCTGATTGGTGCCTCGATTTTGACGGATTGGAAATGGGCTTGAATGAGCTCTTTGCCAGACTAACTTTCAGAGCAAATCTAAATTTGCCGGAAGTTGTCTGGGTTTTCCCAGGCTAATATACATTGACTCTCACTATAAAACTTGGAGGAGACAGGACATGTTTTAATATAACTCTGATTGTATTAGTCTGAAAGAAGAATGTCATATACATCTAGGCTGGCTTCAGGGT